GAAAGTTCTTAGAAGCTGCATTTACAGGGTTCTTAAGATCTATTAGTCAAAGTGCTACCCAAGGAATAGGCTCAAATCCACAAAGATTTGGACACTCAAGTTTTCTAGTCCAGATGGCTGAATTTTGGCTGAGCATCTTAGCTTTAGGTCCCTTGTTTCTCCCCATTATCTGACCAATTCTTATCCCCACATCCCTTCTTCTGAATATTAGTTTACTGTTCGATTTTTAGCACTGGACATTCTTTTCAATTACTCAGTTATTTTATTTGTAATTCATCCATCTTCATGCTGGGTTCTCTGTCTCTATACCAATTTATGTTGAGTCATTTTTGTTCTTGAATCCTGGGGTAGTGCTATAGGATAAGCACTGGACTACTAATCACAGTTTTGGAGCCTCAAACCCAAATACCTTATATAGTAGTAGTTGTTGTTGTTTTTAGGTGCCATTGAGTCAGTACCGACTCATAGCAACCCTACACACAGAACAGAATGAAACACTGCCTGGTCCTGGGTCAACTTCACAATCATTGCTACATCTGAGCCCATTGCTGCTGCCAACTGTGCTAATCCATCTCATTGGGAGTCTTCATCTTTTTCTCTGACTATCCACTTTACCAAACATGATATCCTTCTCCAGGGACTGGTCCCTGCTGATAATATGTCTGAAGTATGAGAGACAAAGTCTGGCCATCCTGGCTTCCAAAGAGTACTCTGGCTGTACTTCTTCCAACACAGATCTGTTTGTTTTTTTGACAGTCCATGGTACTTTCAATGATCTCTTCCAATACCATAACTCAAATGCTTCGATCCTTCCACAGTCTTCTTTATTCACTGTCCAACTTTCACAATCATATGAGGTTTTTGAAAATACCATGGCTTGGGTCAGGTGCACCTTAGTCCTCAAACTGACATCTTTGCTCTTCAACACTTTAAAGAGGTCTTATGCAGCATATTTATCTAATGTAACAGATCATTTGATTTCTTGACTGCTGCTTCCATGAGTGTTGATAGTTAATCTGAGCAAAGTGAAGTCTTTGACAACTTCAATTTTTTCTCCATTTAGCTTAATGTTGTTTATTGGTCCAGTGCTGAGGATTTCTGTTTTCTTTACATTGAGGTGTAAACCATACTGAAGACTGTGCTCTTTGATCTTCATCAGGTCCCTATCAATCAGAAGGAACTCTAAACCAAAATAGAGACAAGCATAGACACTTTGCAAATTGCCTGTGCATCTCTGATATGGTCCCAAGTCACCTAAATGGATTTTTTGACTAACATATCTTAGTACATTCTAGCTACCCTGTTGCTATTCTCTTTGCATGCACAGTGCAAGGGTCCACTGAACTTAGGTTTCCTCCAGAAGCTTCACAACAGCCTTTTGTTTGGATTATACATCTTAACAACACAGCCTACTTCTGGACTAGTCCAACTTTCATTCGAAACTCCAAGCCTCTCCCTCTATACAGAGCTCTGTGTATAAGGAGGTATAATCTTTCAGAGAATTTCTTTAGATTGCTCATGCCTGGAACCCACACATGGAAGGGTCGGCATCTGCTTGGGAATTGTTAGTCTCCCTCCTTTAAGCAGGGGGAATTGTTATCTCATTGGTCACTCAGCACTGTAGGGATTCAGAGCCAACCTCAGAGTAGGTTCGGGGTGACAGAGGCCAAGATGCTGTGTTTGTGCATCAAGATGTGATGATTATATATATATATGTATATATATATATATTCAAGTTGTAATGAAGACTCAAAAAGACTAAGTTACCATAATAAATGATTAATAATAATTAGTTGCTAGGGATGGGCAACCTAGGCATTGGTTACCTAAAATGAGGGGGCGATAAAGGCACGAAGTGACTGGCTTACAAATTTTCAAGAGGGAGTTTAGTTTAAGAGTGTGTGGGGGAAGGTAGAGTCCCCACTGAATAGTGTGCATCCTGTCTAGACAGGTCTGGTGAAAAGAGATGGGGATAAGATTCTTATGATTCAATAATGAGTAATTATTACCATGACTAATTGCAACAGTCACCACTGTAAAGGTAGAAATGTTGTAACAAAAATGGGGGAGCAGTTAATCTTACAGACCCAAAACAGAGGACCCTAGGACCATCAAGGGAGAAGAGCATGAGCAGAATGTGGGACCCTATCCAGAGAAGTAGCGACACCAGAGATGGAGGCAGAGATGAGGACATGGAGAGAGGGAACAGCTGAGGACTCTAGATTCATGGAAAGAGAGGGACTGAGAGATAGTTGCCATGAGGCAGACTTGCAAAATGTGCCCTTTGGTTGTTTACATTATTATATATTCCTGAGTGTTTTTGTGTACATCCCCCACAAACAAACAAAAACAAACAGAGGGAATGGAAGCAAATACTGTTGATGATGCACAGAGGCGACTGTAATCATTTCAATGAAATGATGATGTAAAGCCGATGTTCTCCCATGTAAACAATTACTCAGTTCACAATTAAAAACTAAAAAAAAATATATTTAAAGAGCAGAATTTTTAAAATTGAAAAAAAAAAAAATTAGTTGCAACACTGGAGGAGAGGATAGCAGAGGGAGAAAATCTGCTGTTGTTATTTCTTTTCCAAAGTGTGTGTGATGAGGAGGGTAGAGGTGGAAGTGGAGGAAAAGTTCAGATCTCAGCTCCTCCCTGACTGAACTGGACAGACCAAGGACACGTCTTTAGTTTTAGGTTGGAAATGTAGCCACTTCTGGGGTGGAAGACAGGCAGTGCTAGTTACTGACAAGCAGTCAAAAGCATTGGGTGAGGGGTAGTCCTAGATGCCCGTTGAGAACACTGAATTTAAGATTCCATTAGGACTCAGCAATCACCGCATTAGTGATCCATAATGCCTCTTCCTCAACATATAACCACTGAGCCCTTTAACTATTCATAGGGCAATAGCCTGCCAGAGACTTACAGGAAGAGAAGGGAATCAAGCAGAATATCATGATGGATTGTAATAGCCTATCTTTGCATTACTACTACTTTATCTGCAGCTGCTATTACTAGTACTGCTACCAGTGCCACATTTCTGTAACTGTGGATACTACCACCACTAACTACTATCAATCCTTTAAATTTGTATACTGTTTCACAATTTACAAAGTGTCGCCTTGGCCTGAGTTTCACCTGATTAAAGATGACACTAGACATGCTATAATTGGAAAGACAGAGAAGGGCTGGCTCCAGAAACCTCAAAGGAAACAGAGTGGGTCTGCACTTAGAGCAGAGTAGAAGTGTGGCTGTTTACTTTCAGGTGCTAACTGCAAGGTCAGAAGTTTGAAACTACCAGCTGCTCAGCTGGACAAAGATGAGGTTTTATACTCCCAAAAAGATTTGCAGCCTCAGAAACCCTATACAGGCTGACTCCACAACGCATGACCACTGCTTTGGTCCCAGACACAGCCACCATTTCCAGCCACACCCAGTCACAGTTCCAACCTTTTCCTTTCATAGCTACTTTTAGCAAAAGGGTTAAATGGCCTTTTTTCATTTGGTCAAAAGAGCTTGACTGTGCCATAATCCCACCAGTTATGTTGGAACAAGTGGAGAGAATATTGTTCTAATACAAAGTCATTGCTTCTGTCAACGCTTTCCTCCTTGCCACCAAAAGACTCTGGAAAGACCAACATTCTTTCTTCTTCTTTGTTGTTGTTGTTAAGTGCTGTTGAGTCGGTTATGACCTATAGGATCCAGCATAAGGTTTCTGAAGAGCAGCTGCTAAGACTGAACCACCAACCTTGTGGTTCAAGAGGTTCAAAATGATTTTGCGGTCCAGGGCATTAACCCATAGCGTCACTTACACTTTCCTGTACCTAATTTTTTAGAAATGTCCGACTTTGACCCTAATCCCCAAAGTAAACGCTTTGTACACTTTCTTATCCCAATCAGTGCCTTTGAGTGAGTTCCGACCCATAGTGGCCCCGTATCTAGGGTTTCCCAGGAGTGGCTGGTGAGACTGAACCACCTACCTTGTGGTTCAAACAGGCTGTGCAGTCCAGCACATTAACCACAGCACCACACCAGGACTCCATTCCAATAATATTGTTGTTGTTAAGTGCCCTCGAGTCGGTATCGACTCATAGCCACCCTATATAGGTTTTCCTAAGAACGGCTGGTGAGCTTGAACCCCAGACCTTGTGGTTCAAAGCAACCTTGCAGTTCAGCCCATGAACACACAGCGCCACACCAGGACTTCATCCCAATTATAGGGTTCCCCTTTCCTCATCCCTAGCTGCCAGATACACCAGGTGAGAATGGAGCAGAGACGAGACACAGATCTTTCCCTTAAATAGCAAAAGCAGACAGCACAGTTCAAGCCCATTCCAGAACTAGCTTCCCTTTGGGCTCTCGGTCCTCATCTGGCAACAGGAAGCTCAGCAGAGTTCAGAGAGAAGTGGCATTTTGGAACACATTTTGCATGGATATACATGGTTATGGCATCATGGCTAGCTGCCCTTTGCTACTGGAGCTAAAGGAACATGGGGAAGGGCTTTACCATCGGGGTGAAGTCAGTTGGGTGACGGGGCGGGTGGATGGTGAGAACCAGCTCTAGTGCCTATGATACCTGAGACCAAGCAGGTGCGTGTGCTGCTCTTACAGGAAAACGCAGGTCATTGGGGTGGAAGTGGTGACTCATCTGGAGCACTACTTTCCGTATTTGGAAGCATGTCCTCTGGTGAGTAGTAGCAGTAGTAGCCGCCGCCAAGCAACTGGGTCCTTGTCTATCAGTCCTGTTATTTATAGGTGAGATTTACGATGTATGCGGGAAGGGACTGGGAATGCATCATCCTGTAAATCATACTTTTCCCAAAGCGCCCCCTCCTGGCTTCTCCTCTCCAGAGCAGGCACAGGATTAGCTCGGAGTCTGCACCACAGGCACACCGCAGTGGTCGCCAGTGGTGGGGAGACTGTGGGGCCAGGGGTGGGGGGTTGAGGTAAGGATGGCAGGGGAGGAGGAGCCGGGGACAAGGTATGGCGCTGCTCACCTGCCAGGCTGTTGTAGCAGTCGATCTCTATGGCTTCTACCGTCTTGCTCTGCTCCTCCGAGAGGCGGCCGGGTTGGGGGGGCCCAGCCAGGGAGGCCGCACACGAGTCTAGTTCCTGATCCCCAGGGGGCGGCGGCAGTCCCTTCAGTTCCAGCAACGCGCGGTGGTATTTGCCGATGGCTTCGCGGAATTTCTTGTCCTTGTAGCACTGCGTCCCTTGGCTCTTGAACTCGTGGGCGCGCCGGATGAGCTCGGCGGGCTCGGCCACCGCCCCAGCCTGGCCGGGCGCTGGGGCCCCGCCACCGCCACCTAGGACGTTCAACGGCTGCGGCGGTTGCAGTCCCTCGCCCACAGCGAGAGGACAAGGGTTCCCCTTAGCCTCGGTCACCGCGCTTTTTCTTTCCATTCGTCGGCCGCCCAGGCGCCCTGCGCGCTTAGCTATCCGCCGCCGTCTCGCCCTCCGGGTTTAAAAGCGGCGGGCGCCGGCCGGGTCTCTCGCAGGATCCGCTGCGTCGGTGACACCCTGCGGCCGTAGGTCGCCCAGCACTCCCATTCTTCTTACCAGCTGTTGAAGGCTGTTCTGTCCTCTTCTTCCCCTGATTGCCTTCCCTTCTTTTCTCTCTCCCTCCCCCACTCCCGAGCCGCCGACCGACCTCCTCCTCCGCCCGCTCCCCTCCCGCAATCTGCGGGCGGCGATGATGTGGCCCTCACGCACTCGGGGCTTACAGTCTAGGAGGACAAGGGGCCCAATTGGGGTGACTATTGTTGACCCGGAAGGAGCTTGACTTGCTCCAAGGAGAAGATGAATGGCAAAGATGACTACACTCTCCCATTCAATCTTGTGCTCCTAGACGCGCCTAGTCTGAAAGGAGCTCGCCAATGTGTGTGTGTGTGTAGGGGGCGGGAGGGGGGGGCTCGCCAATGAAATGCATGCAGACTTACTGCCAATAGATTTCTTAAAAACTGAAAAGAAAAGTGCGGCGGGGAGCAAGTGACAAGCAGTACTCTATAGCTTCCTATTCTTTTCAAAATGACTGCTATTTTAAGAGACAGCGTCCCCTTTTATGGACTCAAGTTGTCGTGAAATGTGTGTGTGTGTGTGTGTGTGTGTGTGTGTGTGTGGTCTCCAGGGAATCCAGAACACGCTGTGCACTTCAGTGTATGGGTGTTGTATCCCAGGAGGCTATCTGTACCTACACTTGTGTGCTCACAACTGTGCAGAATGAATAACAGACATCTGAGATGGAAAACACCTGTTACTGTTGATCATCAGCCTTGGCACACATGCATTCTGGTTTCCATTTACAAGACAGTTCCTGCCCTTCCACCTGTGCTCTTTCCTTCTTCCATTCAGTCAACACTAAAAATCAACTGTTTGCTGGGGATTCGCTGGAACAGACAAAGACATGTCACCATCCTACCCTCAAAAATTCCCTGTCTACTGGGAAGATCGTCATCCATTGGTAGAGTCAACGTTGTTCATTGTCGTTCCAATAGTCTCAGACTTATCATGACGGTATGTGTTACAGAACTAAATACTGGAGATCTTGAGCATTGGTTTATTGAAGTCTATTGTTGTGGCTAAGGAGCTCTGGTAGCGTAGTGGTTACGAATCGGGCTGCGAACCTTAAGGTCAGCGGTTCGAAACTACCAGCTGCTCTGCGGGAGAAAGATCCCTCGGAAACCCTGTACAGGGTCGCTATGGGTTTGCGGGAGAAAGATGAGGCTTTCTACTCCGGTAAAGATTTATATCCTCGGAAACCCTGTATAGGGTCGCTATGGGTCGGAACCGACTCGACGGCACTTAACAACAACAACAACATTGTTGTGGCTACTACATAGCCCCTCCCAATCTAGGGGGCTCATTTTCTAGCACTGTTGTCATTGACTAATTTTTGGAAATCAACCACCAGGACTACTGGTTTAACTTTTCATTCATATGTTTACAAAGTGCTCTTTTAGAAACAGTATGACACAATATATAGGAATCTGTTTCCTAATCTTTTTACAAAACACTATATCTTACCATGTAGTTGCTGTTGCTGATGTTAGATGTTGAGTTGGTTCCAACCCTATGTACAACAGAATGAACCCCTACCCAGCCCTGTGCCATTCTCACAGTTCTTACTGTGTTTGAGCCCATTGTTTTAGCCACTATCAATCCATTTATCTTGTTGGGGGGTCTTCCTCTTATTCACTATATCCTCAGTTTTAAGACAAATTCCCACCATTCAACCAAAATCTATCTGACATTAGCAATAATATCCCTTGCTCTCTGACCTCTTGTAAATCAGACTTGCAACCATTTAAATTTTTTCATCAGCCAAATTTAACTTGCATGTGATATTAATGATATTGTTTGATGATTTCCACATTCCATTGGGTCACCTATTTTTGGAATGGGCAAAAATATGGATCTCTTCCTATTGATGGGCTATCTTCCAAAAATCTTGGCATTAATATTTAAGTGCCATCCATTATTGCATAAGTTTGATGAAAGAGTTCAATTTCTGTCCCATCAGTTCCTGGAGACATGTTTTTCCCCAGTGTCTTCAGTACAGCTTAGACTTATTCTTTCAGTATCATTGCCTATTGAACATAGGCTACCTCTTGAAATGGCTAAACCTTAACCAATTCTTTTTGATACAGTGACTCCGTGTATTCCTTTTATCTTTTTTTTTTTAATGTTTTATTGTGAATTATATGATAGTTTACATGGGAGAACCTTAGTTTTACATTCATTCCATCTTATATTATCTCACTGCCATGGTTCCAATCCCCTCCATGCATCATCAACCACCCAAAGGGTATATCCCAGAAACCCGCCCCCTACACTTCCTCCTCCTCCCCCCAGTTTTCGGCCCACAGTCCCTTTCCCTCTCTGGGTCCAAAGTCCCCAGTC